TAAACTGCACATAGACTATTTATTTCATATTTTGGCATCACATAGTTTGGGCACAACTTTCTACCCAGACACCAACCCTTTCTACTTCTGTTAGTTTCAGCAAGTTATTTATGTTCTCTTAGTTTGAGCTTCCCCCTATAAAATAAAATAATTGTATATACTTAGAATGATTTTGAAGTTAAGCAGGTTAATTTAACTAAAGTATTTGGTACTGCTGTTGGACTGTAACATAAATTAGTTGAAATGTGACAAAGACACAAAAATTAGGATTCAGAAAAGATTAGATATCATTATTTTATTACCTATGATGTGGTGTTATTGAGATTAAACCCAGGGCTTCACACATTCTGAGCATATCCTCTTCCACTGGGCTTTATCCCCAGCTCTGTTTTACCTAGTTAAAAAGGTTAACAACAACAGGAAAAAGATGTTTAAAATTTGGTCAAAACTATTTTGGGAACAGATGTTAGAAAAGTTCCGTAGAACACTCAAAGGAGGAGTTCCTGATACTGAAAAATATCCCTATCATAGTGCAATAATAATCTCATAGGGAACATTCATTATTTTGCTGGGTTTTGTTTAATGAGCTGAATAAATTACAATAAACAGTTGATTCTTGCCCACAAATAACAATCTATAGGAAAAATAAAGTAATAACAGGAAATAATTTAAGAATCCTGTGTGCCCTGGAAATAGGAGTTGACAAAGGAACACTAAAGGAAGCTGACACATTAGGAGAAAATAAACAGAACGGTTTTTCCTTATATTCTTGGTCTGCATCAGACAGATGAAAGCAAGCGTTTTTGTGAGGAACCAGTTGGAGTGCACCCCTTCGTAAGTTCCCAATGAGTAGGAAATAAATGAATCCAGACTTGAGAGTATCAAGGAGTAATTGTCTCTGAGTATAGTTTTCTGAAGCATTTTGAGTACTGTCATTGGTAGAATTGGTGTTCATTTTTGGGTCTGGGTAGGAAAATACTGATCTGAGGGTATGATGGTTAGCTATAATGCATTCAACATCAGCTGGACTTTTTTTTTTTTTGCTTGTCCTAGGGCTTAAACTCTGGGTCAGGGCACTGTCCTTGGGTTCCTTTTGCTCAAGACTGGCGCTCTAACACTTGAGCCACAGTGCCACTTCTGGTTGTTTTTGTTTTGTTTTGTTTTGTTTTTCTGTGATTAATTGGAAATAAGAGTCTCATAGACTTTTCTGCCCAGGCTGGCTTCGAACCACAATCCTAAGATCTCAGCCTCCTGAGTAGCTAGGATTACAGATGTGAGGTACCAGTACCCAGCTTACCAGCTGAACCCTTAAAAAAAAAGTTCATTTTTATTTGGCCACTTGAAACAGCAATTATTTTTTAATTTGTGGTTATAAATTTAAACATTATCCTTTCCAACTTCAGAATGAATAGTTTAAGCTACTGCAGTTGTTTACACTGATACCAGTTTTCTTCTGTTACTATAATTGCATTTCTGCATCTCTCATTTTAGTTCAGTTTGTAATCTTAGTTGTGATTATCAGCCCTGTACATTAAAAATATTGTATGAGGAAAAAAATTCTTACATTTTGTGACTACTGTAATTAACATACCGATGTCACAGAAGTTCCTCCCGTAAATCCCCTCTTTTTGTTAAAATGCTAAACTATGTTGTTTAGAGTCATATGTGTAGCTCAGGCTTGCCTGGAACTCAGCCTCCCAAGTGCTAGGAGTATAGGAGTGTGCCAGTCCACCTGACTAAACTATTTATGTATTAATTTTTTATTTTCTATACTCAGTCTAATACCAAGGTTTTCCAAAATCTCTTATTTCTTATTGCTCCTTATGTCTGTTTTCATTCCTTCCTAGACCTTTATGGCCTCAGACCTGTCTGTAATGCCTAGAAAGACATTAAGCTGATCTACCCAACAACCGTTTTTAATTTTTCCTTCTTACTGAAGTAAACCCCGATTACTTGGAAAATAGATAGATAAATGGATGGATAGAATAAGCAAGATCTTCTGACTCTGATCAGTAATCCTAGTACCTCAGGAAAGAAGCATAGTTCGAAGCCAGCCCAGGTGGAATAACCTACAAAACTCCAGTTAGCCAGCAAAGTGCTAGACTAGGGGGTATGTCTCAAGTAGTAGACCACCTATATTGAGCAAGAAAGCTCAAAGAGGCCCTGAGTTCAAGAGACAAAGAGGCCCTGGGTTCAAGCCCCAATACTGGCACACAAAAAGAAATTTTATAAGCAAAATTGTTAAATTCTTTTTTGACAATCCTGGGACCTGAACTCGGGGCCTTGGCACAGTCCCTGAGCTTCTTTTGCTCAAGGATAGCACTCTTATTACTTGATCCACAGTGCCACTTCCAGCTTTTTCTGTTTATATGGTACTGAGGAATCGAACCCAGGGCTTCATGCATGCTAGGCGAGCACTCTACCACTAAGCCACATTCCCAGCCCCTCAAAATTGTTAAATTCTTTTTTTTGATTCTCAACTTATTTATTCCAGCTTTCATATGACTAGATTGGTCCCAAGTTGTTTATTTTTATATATATATATTTTGTGAACATATTGTACAGAGGGGTTACAATTACATGGGCAGGATAATGTGTACATTTCTTATCAAGCATTGCAGCCTCCTCCTTTGTTTACCCTTCACATCCCTTCCCAGCCTCCCCCCCAATCCTCCCTCCTTCCCCCCCCCCCCGTTAAATTCTTATATGTATATGCATTAAACAACTTAGTTGATGCAGAGAAGCTCTCATTCAGTCTTGTACATTTCAGGTGTGTTTAAGTTATATTTTTTGTTGTTTTCATACCCTTTAGTTTGGCACCTAAAATGTAAAGTTGTGATAATCCTCCCAAGCCAAAAAGGCTATGTGAGTCTTTACCTTCATTTCTGCATGGAATACAGGAAATATTTTTCTTCTCCATTTCTCTCTAGTTTATCCTGTTACAGTAAAATAAAGCCTTATTAAAACTTCAAAACAAAGAAAAAAGGGCAAATAACAAGCTGAATTTAAGTAACATGAAAATTTTAGATCTTTTGATAGGTGACTTTTGTTTAGTGGAAGTTGGGTGGTCTGGGAAAATGCGTCAAGCATCTACTGTGTTCAGAATTAACAAAGCATGAAATAAGGTCTGCTTTTTGGTAAATAGTATTGATGTGTAAAATAGTAAAATTGTTACAAGTTATGGATTTTCAAGCTGACTATATTTATAGTATAGGAAAATTGGAACCATACACTGGCTGAAACCAAGAGTGTACTGTATTGTCAGACTAATTGTGTGGGTGCAGTTAATGCAAACTGAGCTCCTACTGTGTGTTTAGTACAATGTTAGGTGATGGGAATACACATCAGTTTGAAGAGGAGAGAGTCAGTAATGTGATATGCAATATACCTGTAATAAAAATATTAAACAAAAGGAAGGAATGTTTTGCCCTAGAGGATTCAGCTTTCTAGCATTAACCCTGGATAGGATGGAGATATTTCCTTCTAATACTGTGAGGCTTGAAGTTTGGAGAGGAAGGAAGTACTTCATGACATATTTTGAGTATTATTATACAAGTGCTATGCTACAGGTCCTGGATACAACAGGTCCTGGATACAACTCTTTAAGTGGTCAAGCAAGAACCTCTCAAAGGAAATAAAGGAGCCAGAATTGGCTAGAAAGTAATGTTGTAAGCTAAGGAAACAGGTGTGATGTGGCTTGATGCAAATGGAGTGGCATTGCATACCAGGCACTGAGCAATATTAGTAAAACCTGGACTCAGTTATCAGAAGCTGATACTCTGGGAGCCTTTTGTAAATCAGCATTGCAGAAGTTAAAATTATACCTTAGGCCTAGAAGCTAGATATGGCCAGAAGTCATTTGCCTCATTTGACTTTGAATTAAGGGACTGATGAATGCACAGATTTCAAGGTAAATTTCTTAGTGCTGAGTTTGTTGGGCTCTTTCTCAAAGATGGATCTGATATGCCTACTGATCTCATAAGAGAGTAGTGGTATATAAAAGAAAGATGTCAGCTGGGCTCTGGTGGCTCATGTCTGTGATCCTAGCTAGTCAGGAGGCAGAGATCTGAGGTCCAAGGTTCAGAGCCAGCCTGGGCAGGATAGTCTGTGAGATGCTTATCTTTAATAAACCACCAAAAAAGCTAGAAATCAAAGTAGTAGAGTGCTAGCCTTGAGCAAAAAATGCTCAGGGACTGCACCCATGCCCTGAGTTCAAACCTTAGGACAGATGGATGGACACACACACACACACAGAAGAGTTTAGTTTGTCCACAGTGCACAGATAAAGAATTATCCCTTTTACACTGGTCACTCATTGTCCCTTGAGTTTATGACTTTGTTTCTATTGAAGAAATATGAATAAATTCAAATCAGTTTCAACAGAAAATGATTTGTATAGGAATGAATGAAGCAAACAGTGACTCTGTAGTTTCCTTAAAATACAAAGCAAAGAAAACTGTTTTGCCTAAAAAAAAAGAGAGAGCAGGTTTATAGTTACATGCAAAAACAATTATTTCCTCTGTACTTATATTGGGATGTTTTGGTTTGCTTTTCAGCTCTTATAGAATCTCATATGACAAGTGAAAAAAACGTACTTTTGGCATTATTTTATTGAGTGTTTTAGGAAGTTGTAGTCAGGCACTGGTGGTTCATGCCTATAGTCCTAGCTATTAAGGAGGTTGCAATCTGGAAGATTATGGTGTGAAGCCAGGTGGCCAGAGGCCCTGAGTTCAAACTCCAGTACTGGAAAAAGAAAGTCAAGGTATACCCAGCAACTTATGCTTATGCATACCCACTGCTTAGGTGCAATTGAGACTTGATATTGGTAAAGTATAGTTTTAACAGCCTTTGGAAGCTGTTACAATAGCTTCTTTCAAGGAAAATCTCACTTTTATGCAAATAAAACAGATGACAATAAATTTGTTTTTGGAAAGTAAATCCAGGGATCTTAATTGTCTGAATTTTCTTAAATTCATCCTTTTTACATTTCTGTTCTTTAGGTCTGCCAAAATGTCTGAAAGATCAGATCTCCTTCACTTCAAGTTTGAAAATTATGGAGATTCAATGTTACAAAAAATGAACAAATTAAGAGAAGAGAATAAATTTTGTGATGTTACAGTTCTCATAGATGATACTGAGGTACAGGGGCATAAAATTGTGTTTGCTGCAGGTTCCCCCTTCTTAAGAGACCAGTTTTTACTGAATGATTCCAGAGAGGTGAAAATCTCCATATTACAGAGTTCTGAAGTGGGGAGACAATTGCTCTTATCCTGTTATAGTGGTATGCTGGAATTCCCAGAGATGGAACTGGTAAATTACTTGACTGCTGCAAGCTTTCTTCAGATGAGCCACATTGTAGAGCGGTGCACACAGGCCCTGTGGAAATTTATAAAGCCAAAACAACCAATGGATAGTAAAGAGGGATGTGAACCACAGAGTGCTTCTCCCCAGACAAAAGAACAGCAGGGAGATGCCCGAGGCTCTCCAAAGCAGGACTCACCTTGTATGCATCCATCTGAAGACAGTATGGATATGGAGGACAGTGATATTCAGATTGTTAAGGTAGAATCTATTGGGGATGTATCAGAGGTTAGAAGTAAAAAAAATCAGAACCAGTTTATTTCTTCTGAACCCACTGCTTTGCATTCATCAGAGCCCCAGCACTCCCTAATAAATTCAACTGTGGAAAACAGAGTAAGTGAAATAGAACAAAACCATCTCCACAATTATGCCCTCTCTTATACAGGCAGTGATAACATCATCATGACCTCGAAAGATGTCTTTGGGCCTAATATTCGAGGTGTAGACAAAGGCTTACAGTGGCATCACCAATGCCCAAAATGTACCAGGGTGTTTCGTCACCTGGAGAACTACGCCAACCATTTAAAAATGCACAAACTCTTTATGTGTCTACTCTGCGGCAAGACTTTTACTCAGAAAGGCAACCTTCATCGACATATGCGTGTACATGCCGGAATTAAACCTTTCCAGTGTAAAATCTGTGGGAAAACCTTTTCTCAGAAGTGTTCCCTACAGGATCATCTTAACCTTCACAGTGGAGATAAGCCCCATAAATGTAACTATTGTGACATGGTTTTTGCACATAAGCCAGTTTTGAGGAAACACCTTAAGCAGCTGCATGGCAAAAACAGCTTTGATAATGCCAATGAGAGAAATGTACAAGACCTCACAGTGGATTTTGATTCTTTTGCATGTACAACAGTCACAGACTCTAAAGGGTGTCAGCCACAAACTGATGCCACCCAAGTCCTGGATGCAGGTAAACTGGCCCAAGCTGTCTTGAACTTAAGGAGTGATAGTACATGTGTGAATTGAGTAGGAGCTTAATGCTCACACTTAGAACTGACTGAGAATGTGGCATTAGTCTGAAGTCTTTAGGAATTATTTTGTTAGTTTGCCTTTCCAAAACCTCTTGTGTAGGTGGTAGTGATTGAGCAAAAGCACTAATAGACCAGGCAACTTACCACTTGGAGTGGTTTTGCCTTCCTTTTGCCCTCTCCCATTTTCTTTTTTGAGTTATTTATCCTGTGATGTCTGTTTTCCTTTCTCAAGGAATAATTCCATTTGTCTACCTGATGTTAATTTATATCTTAGACTGACAATATTTTAGGCTCTTTTACCAAGCACATTTTGAAGGTACCAACAAATGAATAGCATAACCTACTTTTAATAGATGCTATGCCATGAAAAGTGAATAATATTTTTCTTTGGCAAAAAGCATGGGTTGAGATATAAGGTAATACTGCTGTTGTTCTAAATATGTGATAGCATCCACTGGATGCCTACTGATTATTCATTCATGTCTGAAAACATGTGAATCTGCCTTCTATCATTTGTACCTGTCGTGGAAGCTGGATATAAACAAGTATGTAGATTTGTTCTGTACTTTTCAACACTATCTCATTGAAATACTCCCATAGACCAGAGTACAATCTTTTCAGCAACATTTGGCAGACAAATAATTTGGAATTGCCATGAGGCGCATAATCAGCAAAGGTCAGAAATGCAATTATACAAGAGCACTTATGTGGGAGGTTTTCCAGGTAGCACGTCCCAGCAAAGCACTAGATGCTTATAATATTATGTAACTTACTTATTGATGCTTTCATAATCAGGATTGCTTCAGGTACATTTAAAATGTGTTAAAAGAATTGTTGTATCTAGAACTAAACTATTTAGGAGTTTCTGAGTTTTATAACTTCCAGAAAATGAGTTTGGAGATCAGAGTTGTGTCCAGGACACTAAATAAATTCCTCAAAATTTTTCTTTATACACCTAATTTCTAAAATAGATGAAAAAGTTAAATGGGACACAAGCAGTCAGATTTCTTGCATTCAGATACTCCTCTTAAAGGAAAACTGCCTTAATTTGCCACCTGAGATAGATGGGTAAGAGTTGATTTTCCAGTACGGAGAAGCAAAACAACTGGTGTTTCCTAAAACACAATTCAGACATAAAATTTTAATCTTGTTTGTTTCTGGCCCATGAAATAGACTTAGGTAATAGGAATGTTACAGAACTTGAGAATCCATTTATTTTGTGTGTGTGCGTGTGTGTGTGTGTGCGCACGCGTGTGCGCGTGTGTGTGTGCGCATTTACATATGTGTGTGCTGGTCCTGAGCTTAAAGTCAGGGCCTAGGTGCTGTCCCTGAGCTTCTTTTACGCAAAGCTAGCACTCTTCCCCTTGAGCCACAGCTCCACTTTTGGCTTTTTGGTGGTTAATTGGAGTAAGAGTCTCACACTTTACTGCCTGGGCTGGTTTTTAATTGTGATCATTAGATCTCAGCCTTCTGAGTAGTTAGGATTATTGACTCTTGGCTTAGATAATGTTAAGACTATCATTTATTCCATTTCTTTCATTTTATGTTGGAGTACCCAAAGCCCAAAGAGGTAACCTGGCCAGAGTAGTTAAGTGATTGGTATGAACAAATTCCCCTTCTTCCCATTATACCTTGGCTTCAAAGGATTCAAGACATGATATAGAATCATGCATTAGCAAAATGCTCCTAGTTCGTATTTTCCTGCTGGCTTTCTGAGACAGTCTAGATTTTGCCAACAAAATATCACAGAGGTACTTATTTATGTTAATTGTTATTTTGTATGTTACTTTTTTAATTTTTATTTTCTGAAAAAAATAAGCAGTGCTGGGATGGAACCCAGGGCCTCATTCATGTTAGGGAAATACTCTACCACTAAGATAAATCCTCATCCCTTATTACTTTTTAATTAGATGACTATAACATTCTCCTCCAGAAAGGAAGGGAAAGGGCAAGTAAAAATAATGTGAGAAAGATCTAAATGTGAAATTTATTTTGTCTAGAAAACTGTTATTTCCATCAGGATTTTGTTTTTATTTTTGAGCTATGAGATTGCATGTACAGATAATTGGAAAATAGGCTTAATTTATATAGTCAGGGAATTCTTAGGTTGATATAATTTGATGTATTTACATATGAGTCAGATTTGAAGTATAATTTCTCTTAAATGAAAAGACAGTTGAATGGCAATACTCATCGGTACCTTGTGCCCAGCATCACCCATTATATGACATTATGATTCTTCGTAGCATTCTGAACTTTACATGATCCAGCCAAAGAGTACCAGTTGTATGCAACAGTGAGACTCTACCATGTCAACCACTGTAGCATCATGTCTTCATAGGAAGATTTCAAGTTGAAGTAGTTCTGTTGTTCACATTCATGTCCTCTTTTTGTTCCTAGAAGATTGATCTCTTTAGTTGGAGACTGCTTCTGGGTTTCATACAGTCACTCAAGAAACTGTTTTTTTCCTTTTTATCCTGGGAATTGAACCCAGAGTCTCATGCATGCTAAGTATGTGCTGTTCCATCCTGCTACACCTGTAGCCTCAAAAAACATAAGCACCTAGAGTGTTTCCAAACTCTGCTAGATGTTGAGGATACAAAGGTAAGATTGATATGGTCCCTGCCCTCATAGAGCTTAGGGTTTCATGTGGCCTTTGGGAAACAAGGTGTCAAGCTGATTTTATACTAAGAATAATAATACTACCTTGCTTTGTTTAATTACTTAAAATCAACATTTTTATGATTTTTTTATTAACACTTCTAGATCTCACTTTTGCAAGTGCAAACCACTGATGTACATTGTCTTCTCTAGTACTTGGCTGGAGAGGTCTTCTGTTTCTGTGAGACATTTTCTAATTTTGGTGAGACTTGCCAACTCTCTTTACTTAACACGTTTCTTAGATTACATTGCAAAAATGTTTCTGATATCAAATAAATTTTATAGGGAAAGATGACTTTCAAAACTAGTTATGGTCCTATAGAGGAGGCTGGGTTTTAAAATCTTTGTCATTTGTTTTTATGCATTCCCAGGATAACTTTAAAAAGGGGATTCTCTTTACCGTGGTTTGTTTTTCTAAAACCTTTTTGTCAGTTATTTATTTATTTAATTTTATAAACCAACTCCAACTGAAGTGGCAGAGGTAAATCAGATGTTTTTAGTTTGTTTTATTAGAAGATCTGTACATGGGAAATGACCAGTGTCACCACTTCTAAAATACTGTCCCAAACAACCCAGAGCATTTTATTTCAGCTCGTGAATAGCTGTTCTTAATCTGTTGTATGTTAGACATACTATGAACTACCTCTTCACTTATTATGGGGAAGTTTCCTTAATAAAAGTGTGACAATTAAAAGTGATGTTGGTTTATTTTTTTCTCCTGTTCAACTTTCCTTTCCAACTTTATGAATTTTAAACCAGGAATGTTTCTGTTCTTTAAAATATACATTAATCATGAATGAGGAATGCTTAGGCTGTAATTCAAGCACACCAGAGGTTGAGGCAGGAATATCACAAATTCAGGCCTACCTGGGCTGCTTAACGACACCATCTATCTGAAAAGGGGGCCAAAGGGATTAATTTGCTTTCCGAAGAACATAGGTTCAGCCAGAAATTAGTAGTGTCAGTTATTTCTATGAGAATGAGCTTCCAGGTAGAACAATTGCTTTTAATAACTGGTTCAGGGCTGGGGGTGTGTTTCAGTGGTGGAGCATTTGCTTAGCAATCATAGTACGGACTACTGGCTCAAAACCTTTCTTCTGTAAATGCTGGAAGCTTACTAAGTTACACTGCAGGAATGCAAGGACCACCAGGCTTTTGTGCCACGCTCAAAACTCCCGGTTTGCTCTGCAGCACGGGGTGTGATCACTCCACTCCTGTCGGGGATGTCCAGTGCCAGCAAGGGCCCCGGTTCCGCTGAGTGGGGTGGGAGGAAGCCAGGGACGAGGTCGCGATGTCGGAGGGGGAAAGGTGTACTCAAAGGTTCCGCGCGGGCCCAGAAGCCCGAATACAGATTTCTTTGGGAGAGGTTCTTCGCTCTTCCTCTTTTCAAGCTCTGGATAGTCCTCAGACGGAAGTCCGGCCCGTCATGCCATCGTCCAGCTTCACGCCCGGATTCCGGATGAGCGCGCGGAGACCAGGGCAGCGACGACGCTCGAGTTAGCGCTCAGACGCCCTTCAGTTACTGCAGGAGCCGGGGCGGGGGAGGAGGATGTTCTTCCGGGGCGCCCCCGCCGGCACTGCCGGAGTAAAGCTGGCTGACCCGGATGTGTTTCCCCCCAGGCTAACCCCACCTTCCGGCCTGCGCCGCTGCCGCTGCCGCTGCCGCTGCCGCTGCCGCTGCCGCCGCTGTGGAAACCTCCACTCGTTCTCCGAGTCGGTAAGTGGGCGCGGAGGAGACGATCCAGGTCGCGAGGTTGGGATAGAGGAGAGGCAGGGGGAAGAGCAGGAAAGGGTGGGGGAGAAGGGCCGCCGGGCGCCGCGGCCCAGCGCTCCGTTGGGGCCGAAGACCCTGGCCCGCCAGGTCGTGGCCGGGTGGAGGTTGGGGAAGCCCCACACGCCGCTCGGGAGGGAGCGTCCCGACCGCCCGGGGTCCGGGGTGAGTTAGTTCCGCAGTGGTGGTTGTGCCGCTGTGCCGAGCCCGAGCCCCTGTGCCCGGGGACCAAAACAGGAACTGGGCCCCTCGCCCCGCTCCGGGCCGCTGGCCACCTGTGGGAGGCGGGGACACGTAGGGTTGCTTGGCTTGGGCTTAAAGAAACCGCAGAACTACCGGAGGGAGGCGGGGGCAGGCTCCGTTGGCTCACGCCTATAATCCTAGCTTCTCAGTAGGCTGGGATCTCAGGATCACGGGTTCGAACCCGGCCCGGGCAGGAAAGTCCGGAGAACTCTTATCTACAGTTAACCACTAAAAAAGAGAAAGGAAAGAAAATTGCGGAAGTGGGGGTGTGGCTCAAGTGGTTCAGCGCTTGCTTTGAGGAAAAAAAAAAAAAAAGCTTAGGGACAGGATCCAAGCCCCGAGTTCATGCCCCAAGAATTGACCACCACCACCTTCACCTAGACACAGCAACTGGGAACGCTGTTATGATATGCAGAGGTGTCATTGTTTTGGCAATGTCAAAATTATTGCTGTCTAAGGAAAACGGACGACGAAAGATATGCAATTATAAAGACGAGTTAAGGGCCAATCGCGAAGGAACCTGCATTCTTTATAACAATGAATGGCTGTCCTAGAGGTGGAGGAGAGCAATTACGAATTTAAGGATTTAAAAACAAATTTTAAATCTATTTAATGATGTTCTAGTATTAATTCAGAAGGCTTGTTTGGAATGTAGGAGGGAAAGTATTTAGTCAAGGAGACTCTGGGGAAGACAGACTTGAAGGCCTGCAAGAGTGAGATACAGTAAGAAGTTTGGAGAGGGGCTGGGAAGGTGGCTCAGTGGTAGAGCACTTGCCTTGCATGCATGAGGCCCTGGGTTCCATTTCTCAGCACCACATAAGCAAAAAGAAAAAAGCCGGAAGTGGCGCCGTGGCTCAAGTGGTAGAACGCCAGCCTTGAGCTGAAGAGCTGAGGGACAGCGCCCAGGCCCAGATGTCAGGCCCCACAAGTGGACCCCGAAAAAAAAAGTTTGGAAAATACATTAAGGTTTCTAAGATGGGATATTGTTTTAAGTGTACTCTTTGCTAATTACTACTTGTTACTGGACATTCAAAATTGGTTTTGACTACAGGGGATAAAAAATTTTAGCCAAGGAGACAAACTTAGAAACTATTACTTACAATTCATTTCTGCAACAAATCATGGAATCTGTACTATTAGATTATTGAGAACTTCATTTTAACTTTCTGGGTTTTTTTTTGTTGTTGTTGGTCGTGGGGCTTGAACTCTGGGCTTGGTTGCTTTGTCCCTGTGCTCTTCAGCTCAAGGTGATCGCTCTACCGCTAGAGCCACAGCGCCACTTCCGGTTTTCTAGTGGTTTATTGGAGATAAGAGTCTCACAGATGTTCTTGCCCAGGCTGGCTTTGAACTGCGATCCTCAGATCTCAGCCTCCTGAGTAGCTGAGATTACAGGTGTGAGCCACTGGTGCCCCGCACTTTCTGGGTTTTGATAGAGGCATTTGGCACCCAGAGTAGAATTTGTGCTTTTTTCCAATTTATGTTCAGATTCTTGATGGGTGAGAGAAATTCTTTCCTATGTCAGTAGGAGACAGCATTCCCTATCTTTACATCAATGTTTGTGTTTTGTTTTGTTTAGACTGTTACCATGGCTGCTGAGTCTGAGGTTCTGCACTTCCAGTTTGAACAACAAGGAGATGTGGTCCTGCAGAAAATGAATCTTTTGAGACAGCAGAATTTATTTTGTGATGTATCAATTTATATTAATGACACTGAATTCCAGGGGCACAAGGTGATTTTAGCTGCTTGCTCCACCTTTATGAGAGATCAATTTTTACTCACACAGTCAAAACATGTCAGAATCACCATTCTGCAGAGTGCAGAAGTTGGCAGAAAATTATTGCTCTCTTGCTATACTGGAGCACTTGAAGTTAAAAGAAAAGAACTTTTGAAATATTTGACTGCCGCCAGTTACCTTCAGATGGTTCACATCGTGGAAAAGTGTACAGAAGCTTTGTCAAAGTATCTGGAAATTGATCTTTCTATGAAAAATAATAATCAGCACACTGACCTATGTCAGTCTTCTGACCTGGATGTTAAGAATGAAGAAGAAAATTCTGATAGAGACTGTGAGATAATTGAAATTTCAGAAGATAGTCCTGTAAACATAGATCTCCATGTCAAAGAAGAGGAAAGCAATATATTACAGTCCACAGTAGAGAGCTTGACATCAGAGAGAAAAGAAATGACCTCACCAGATCTCTCTACTGTAGATTTAGGTTTTAAAGAAAATGAAATTTGTATTCTCCAGGTCGAGTCTATGAGTACACCAGGTGTTGAAAATGGGCAGTTTCCACAGCCTTGTACCTCATCAGAAGCAAATATGTATTTCTCAGAAACACAGCACTCACTGATCAATTCTACAGTTGAAAGCAGAGTGGCAGATGTTCCTGGAAATCAAGGTCAGGGCTTATTTTGTGAGAATACTGATGGAAGTCATGGTACAGTGAATGAGATTCAGAATCTGGAAGAGAGTTATACACTGAGGCACCAGTGTCCCAGGTGTCCTCGAGGCTTTCTTCATGTTGAAAACTATCTGCGCCACCTTAAGATGCATAAACTCTTCCTGTGTTTACAGTGTGGCAAAACATTTACACAGAAGAAAAACCTTAACCGACACATTCGAGGGCACATGGGCATACGGCCCTTTCAGTGTTCTGTGTGCTTGAAGACGTTTACAGCTAAAAGCACACTTCAGGACCATTTGAACATACACAGTGGTGATAGACCATATAAATGCCACTGTTGTGATATGGATTTCAAGCACAAATCTGCCCTCAAAAAGCATTTAACCTCTGTTCATGGCAGGAGCAGTGGTGAAAAACTACCTAGACCTGATCTCAAAAGGCAAAATCTACTATAATTGATATTATGGACTTCCTTTGTAAATCTTGTATCATTCTGTTGGCAAATCTTTCTTTATAAATGGCAGTGCTTATACTATTGAACTCCCCTCACCACCCATTTTTTATGTTTTATTTTTCATCTATTCTTTCTGAACTTTCAATAGTTCCAAAGTTGTAGGAAGGAGGCATAACAAAGTTGATGGGATTCTGTCTTGTCTCATATATATATATATATATATATATATATATGTCCTAGAATTTGACTTACATATTCTAGACCATTGATTTAAATTAAATACAACCATATAATTATTCCAGAATTATGATGACAGAAAAAGTCAATTTAAAAACACTATTATCCATTACTAGACACTTGAAAAGATAGGATTAATTAGCAATTTTTTTTTTTTGTCAGTCATGGGGCTTGAACCCTTGGCTTGGGCGCTGTCCCTGCACTCTTCAGCCCGAGGTGAGAGCTCTACCACTTGAGCCACAGTGCCACTCCCGGTTTTCTAGTGGTTTACTGGAGATAAGAGTGTCAAGGACTTTCCTGCCCGGGCTGGCTTTGAACCGTGATCCTCAAATCTCAGCCTCCTGAGTAGCTAGGATTACAGGTGTGAGCTACCAGCGCCCAGCTAGGATTAGGAAAGTTTTAATTTATAATCTGCTCTTGTTCTTGAAAGTACTTATTTTAAGCCGTAAAGGAACACAATTCAGATTATTTCATAGCCATACTGTAACATAATTAGACCGATTTCTTAGTTGTATTTAATATGGATTTTAATATATGTATAGATTTTTGTATCCCCACTGCAATTGGGATACAGAAAGTTTTGTCACTCCCTCAAAACTATGCTACCTATCCATTTGCACTGTACTCCCTCCTTGCTCTAAATTCTAACAGTACTTCTTCACTATAATTTTTCCTTTTCCCTCAGCATGAGCCTTTTAAGATTCATTCATGTGTTTACCAGTAGTTCATTTACATTTTTATTTTTGCTTTTATTTTAAGGCAGGGTTTCATTGTTTAGCCCAGACTAGCCTCACACTCAAGATGCTTCTGCCTTAACTGCTACAGTGCTAGATTATTAGTGTACATCACCATGACCTAACGGTTCATTAATTTGAATCATCATTTGTATTAGTTGCTGCTATCAACAGATGAACAGTTTAAATGTTGGTAGCTACTCCTGTTAATCACAATTTCTTATTTAGAGTTTTCGTTCACTGTGTATTGACAAAAATCATCAACATCCCTGGGTTTTATTTGGCATTTCTAGAAAGCCAGACCAAAACTATGAACGTGTACTTTAGTGACTAATATTTCAGATGGTGTTCTGAGACATTGCTCTCTAATATTGCTAAATACAATATAAAAAATTTTGTTGTTATAATAAAGATCAAAATATTGAAAGGCTAATCACCTCTTCTAAACACAGGCATTACTTTTTGTAGAGAAGCCTGGACTAGATACATCTTATTACAAGCTTTTTATTCCTCCTCTACTTATCTCAACTTTATTTAGGATTTCTACAATACTTAATGTCTTGACACCCATGTTTCCAAATGTAATATACTTTGTACCTTGTAAGAATATTGTGAAGAATATTAGAAATGTTTTTAATTATATTTTTATTATCTTTTAGTAGTTGTACAGAGGATTTAGCATTCAACAGATGAGTTTTATGAATATGCTGCATCTTGATCAATGTCACCTGTATTTCAGCATTCTCCCTCTTCCTAACCTAACCCCTTCCCCTCATTTTAACTCTATAGGATATGCATTGAATATTATGACTGTATTTTCTATCCCTGTCTTCATTCATCTACCTTCCTCACTTCCCTTTAAAGTACCAATTTCCTGCTATTCATTTTGTTGGACTGTGAGTTGTTTTTACGGAATTACACTGTTTGAATTCTTCCCGGCAAGTACCATACTTCAGTTAATACATTTGTGTATACTTGCATACAAATGTATATGTTACTTGTACATTTATAAATTAGTTCTGGCTTCCACATATGAGAGAAAACGCGTTCTTTGCCTCGTTGGGGTTGACTTAAAATTTTTTCCATATCCATCCATTTTTTTGCAATGGATAAGTAAAATTCCATTGTGTGTATATATCACATTTATCTGATCCATTCGTTCATTGAGGGGTATCCAGCCTGTTTATATATCTTAGTGAATAGTGCAGTAGTGAACATAGTTGTGTGGTTGGCTTTACTATAAAGTTAAGTATAATTTCTGTGGTACTTTTTTTTTTTAGTGTCCATAGAATTTTAATTCTGGGAGAGACTTTAAAGAATTTGTTTTCATATTTGTTGAGCAAAACTTTGTAACTAATGCTATTAATGACTTTGGACAGATAGCCTGTCCTTGAACTTTCTGTTTTGTTTTGTGCTAGTGCTGGGGCTTGTGTTTTTGCTTAGGGCCTAGTGTTCTTACTCTGTGTTTTTTTTTTTTTTTTTGACTCATGATTGTGCTCTACCACTTGAGTCACATCTCTAGTTCTAGTTTTAGTCTGGCTAATTGGAGATGAGTCAAATATTTGTCTGCCTAAGCTGGCCTCAACCCTTGATCCTCAGACCTTAGTTTCCTGAGTAGGTAGGATTTTAGGTTTGAGCCACTGGCACCAAACTTGAATTGTTCCTAATCTTCTATATAAAGTTTCCTTAATTTACATGTATTTGTATAGTAACTTTGATATTGATCATTTGTAATGTCATTACCAGGCCATTCATATTTAATCCTGAAACAGAGGCTGAATTTTTCTGATTTATCTTCCCATAATTTTCCAGTTGACTTGAGTGGCCATTTAACAGTTGTAAAAATAATTTCCTTTCATGAATAGTTTGTGATTGAAGTATATCTCTTTACTTTGACTTCTTCAGATAAAATTTTGGAGGGGAGGGCTAGGGATGGGAAGAATGAATAAACTGATTTTTTAGGAATCAGTATCTACTATCTTGGATATATGAAATTTTTTGGATGGAAGTACGTTTTAAGTTTTCTGTGCCTTGATTGATGGTTGTAAAAAATTGTGAGCACTTTGAGACTTTTGCTTGGATGGGGAGGTGTTTTGTAAAAGTGGTGTTGTTATTTATATTATTTATTCCCATTATATAGCACAGTAATCTGGAAACATTCCTAGCAGAATATCTACTTGCATGACATTTCTAAAAGTTTTCAGGAAAATATAATCCTCTAAAATATACAACTATGGCAAAGTAAAGTGTAGAATTTGTTCGGTTAAACTCTGCTTATGTTTGTCTTTCTTACATGACAGAAATGCATTGAGTTCAGTCTCATACATATCTGATTTGGGGAAGATCATTTGTTGAAAGAGTAAACTCTTGTCCCTTTTCCTTAGATGTAATTATTATATATGATTACACAAAAAATAAATTGGCAATGGTCATGGAGAACTTGGGTTTGCCTACATCTGAATTGCAAAGATGGACACATTTATTCCAAAAACACCAGTCATTATTATGTATACCTGTACTAAAACTTACATGTACATATAAAAATCCCTGCTCTCATGAAACAGATGCATAAGGCAGGTAGATGGATGTAAACAGTAAGTGAAATTAATGTATGTCAAATAACTGAAAAAAAAAGATTTGAACTAAAAGCATCAATACAAATGCCAGAGAAAAGGAATGGGATTTTTATTTTTAAAAGTGATCATTATACCTTGGTTAAATCGTACACCTCTACATATATATTTCATTGACTTGTGGAATGAAAAAAATAGCCAATAAATGTAGAAAAATACACACACACACACGGTAGCTTGAGAAATTAACCTAAATTCACCCATCAACATCCCGTTGAAAAATTAGACGGGCTTGGAATGGAGCTTAGTGGTAGAGTGCTTGCCTAACATACATGAAGCCCAGGGTTTGATTCCTTAGTATCAAATAACCAAAAGGCTGGAAATGGTGTTGAGGCTCAAGTGGTAGAGTGCTAATCTTGAGCAAATGACGCTTGGGGACAGTGCCCAGAGCCTGAGTTCATGGCGGAAGATTCACACACACACCGTCAATTTTGTAGGCACATTTTTTTTGGGTCCCATCATGGGGGCCTGGGCGCTGTCCCTCAGCTCTTCAGCTCAAGGCTAGCGCTCTACCACTTGAGCCACAGCGCCACTTCCGGCTTTTTTCATTTTGCTTATGTGGTGCTGAGGAATCGAACCCAGGGCCTCAGGCATGCAAGGCTAGCGCTCTACCACTGAGCCACCTTCCCAGCCCTGTAGGCACATTTCTTTATCTTAGTATAGGATAATGAAAAGTTTGGATTGGGTAAATGAATCTTTCTTGTGTTTTTCCTTCTTTTACAGGCAGAAACTTTTTTGTTTTTGTTTTGTTATTCTCAATATCTAGCTGAGTATGGCCTTGTGATCTGCCTGCCTCAGCCTTCTGATTACTGGGATTACAGATATGCACACATCAGCACACCTGTATTACAGGTATGCATTATCACACCTGGTGTAACTATAGTTTTTTCTTAGTTTTTAAAATTTAGCTTTTATCAGTTACATAGGAGGGGCCAGATTTCATTATTACATGTCCACACATCGTTTACACTGTATTCCAGTCAATCATGCCCCCCTCTATCACCCCCCCAAGCATTCCCAGCTAACCATCTGTATTTTGTCTATATCCTAATTTCTATTGTTTACTTCCATAGCTTTTTGCTGGGACAACTGGTTTTTACATTGTAAACTATTTACAAGTCATAATCATTCCCTTCACCTGTATTGGCTTCAGTTTCTCATTGTCTTTTTAGGATTATTTTGATAATATGTAAGTAAAACTAAGATATTTAAGAATCACTTGATGCAGTAAGTTAATTCATGAATTACTACCTGTTCTCTATTCTCATCTATGAGAATAGGTCCTCAGAGTTTGCTATGGGAAAAAAAAAATCCTTCAATATATTCATTGAGCCATAATGCCAAAATTTACTTTTCAATTTTGATCCTTACCACCTTTTGAGGAGTTGTAATAAAGAGATCAGGTGAATTTTGGTAAGGGCGTTACTGGGTGATCCGTTGGGCGTCAGGTTAGCACTTCTATCCGGGAGAGTGAAATAGGATGTAACACTGGCGCTATCAGATTCTGCTCATTGGATCACAGGCTTTTCACCATAGGAGCCTAACACACTGGCTCAAAGCGCAGAGGAGCGTGCAGGGAGTTTCCCATCAATCCTTTCGACTTGCCGGTCTTCCCAGCATCTCCCACAGTACTC